CAAGAGTTGGTAGGACATGAGGCAGAACATATTCCAAATAGGGAATATAATAAAGAAGACCCTCCAATGGTAGTTGGCTCAACACATCCTAGCATGGCAGAGTTTAAGATTGCATTATCTCAGCATGCAATCAAACGTGAATTTGAGTATAACACAGAGAAGAGTGCACCATATAGGTTCAGGGCCTATTGTTCAAGGTGGGAGGAAGATAATTGCCCATGGAGACTATATGCTTCTACAACAGCTGATATGTGCACTGTAGTGGTAATTATTCAGCATAAATAATTTCTGTTTTTTTTCTAAATATTTATTCTGTTATGTTGGTGTAGCTAAATAGGGATGTTAATCTTTTGTAGGTGAAGAAGAACCCATATGCTCATCAGTGCTCTAGTACAAGGAGGAAGAAGAAGGTCAAGAATGCCACCAAGCATTGGGTATGTGCTAAAGTTAAGGACTGGCTCATTGAGGATGGATCACTTGGTGCAATGCAGTTGAAAAAGAAGCTTAAAGAGCACTACAAGGTGAGTGTCCACTACAAGAGGGTGTGGATGGGTAAAGAGCTAGCATTGAGGCATATTTATGGTGACTGGGACAACAGCTTTGACAATTTGTATAGGTTTAAGGCACAAGTTGAGAGCACTTGTCCTGGTAGCGTAGTAGTGATAGATCATCACACAATAAATGGGAAGATCGGATTTAAAAAAAATTCTTTGCCTTGAAACCATGCATTGATGGGTTCATAAGTGGTTGTAGGCCATACTTAGCAATAGATAGCACTTTCCTGACAGGCAAGTTTAAGGGGCAGTTAGCTAGTGCTTCAGCTATTGATGGCCACAATTGGTTATTTCCTGTTTGCTTTGGAGTTTTTGATTCTGAAACAAATGATAATTGGAAATGGTTCATGGAGAGAGTTAGAGAGGCCGTAGGATCACCAAGGGGTTTAACCATATGCACTGATGCTGGCCAAGCAGTGATGTCAGGGGTAGGTGATGTGTTCCCAGAGGCAGAACATAGGGAATGTATGTTTCACTTGGTGTCCAATTTTAAGAAAAATTTTCATGGCAAGGTTTTTGATGACCACCTTTGGGCAGCAGCATACTCATGGAACCCATATTTGTTTGAGAAACATTAGGCTGCAATGGAGGCAGTAAAGCCAAGTGCTACTAATTACCTTAGGAAGTGGCACACTAGGCTGTGGATAAGGAGTCAGTTCTCAACCATTTCCAAGGTTGATTATGTAACCAACAACTTGGCCGAGTCCTTCAACAATTGGATTAAGCACCATAAGTCCTTGAACTTGGATGACTTAATGGACAAATTAAGGCAAATGCTTATGATCAAGTGGAACCAAAGGAGAAAAATAGCAATGAAGTTAGATGGCTTGATTTTGCCCCACATAATTAAGAAACTGAAAGAAACGAGTAGAGAATTAAACTTGGAGGTGCTTGAATGCTCAGAAGTTGCTGAAGTTACAGCATTGGGGGTAATGGCTTTAGGTTTGTTGTCAACTTGCAAGATAAGACATGTTCATGTAGACAGTGGCAAGTTTCTGGCATTCCTTGCAAACATGCAGTAGCATTTATCACATCACTTCACAATGCTCCTCTAGAGAAGTATATAGACATATATTATTCTATTGACAAGTTTAGAGCAGCATATTAGCACTTAATCCCTGCTATGACTGACAAACGCCAGTGGCCTAAATCTACACATGGATTTTTCATGCATCCACCTCTATTGAAAGCAACTACTGGTAGGCCAAAAACTGAGAAGTACAAAGGCTGTAGTGAGAATAAGAGGAAAAAAGGCCAGCACTAGTGCCCTATTTGTATAGGCTATGGCCATCATTGTCACAACTGCAAGAAAGGTAATCCAGAGGACATTGCTGCTATGATGGCTGTGAGGTACTATACATGCTAACTACTTTATTGTTGATTGCATTTTCCTTTTGGCATAATATAGATTGTAACTACTTTCTTCTTTATCATGTAGAGGACCACCTAAGAAGAAGGCAAAGAAAACCAAAACAGCAGAGTCATCCATTGTGCCTTTGGACAATGAAGCACCAGCAACTTCTATGTCTTTTCCACTAAGGTTAGCTCATGATTTTGTCTCACTTTTTCCCACAACAACCTGCAAGTTTTGAAGCACTTTACTTTTGCCATGTTAGCCAAAATTTGGAGACAAGTACCAAGAGTAAGGATAACCAAGTCATTTCTAGTATTGGAGCATCAACAAGCGCGGAGATTACATCCAAGAAAAAGGCAAATAAGGGCAAATCTAGTTTTGGAGCATCAAAAAGGTAATACGCAGTTCATGATATAGCTACTGTACTTCTGTATCTCGTTGAATATTCTTCATGGGGTTTTCTAACTCAATAAGTGAAGGTTGAGCGTAACACTTTTCAACCTGGCAAAATTGACGGAATATTTTATGCACTATCATGCTAAAAGAGAATGATCATTCACAATATTATTTTCAACCGATAAAGATGGAGCGGAAATTATAGATACAAGAAACATGTTTCAATAGCACTTTGAATTATGTTTGTTGAGTACTATATTTGGTCCTGTATCCTTTCGGTGACTTACTGAAATCTGAATTTTCTTGGCCTCATTTGATATGGTATTCATGTCAGTAGAATGATTTGTTCTCAGCTCCTTGTCTCCCTGATGGAGCTACTAGTTTGCCATTGTCAATAGTGTAACAGTCTTCTACACCAGATATCTGGTGCTACATATACAACCCTTTCTGGCAAATCTAGTTCTGTCGTTACTTTGTTGCTATTGTTACTTTGTTGTCTCTTATTCAAATCTATGCCGTACACAGGTCAATATCAGATTCAAATGAACCTGCGCCTACTGCTGCTCCAATCAAGGCAAAGAGCAAAAAGAAAAAGGAGCCTACTAAAAAGAAAACCACCATTCCTATGTTGCCACTTGACAGCCCTATAATGGGCACAAGAAGCAAAAAGGTGGATCCTGCTAGCCATGCAATGAGCACAATAAGCAAAAGAAGGAGGCTCAACCTGTGATCCTCATGTATATGTGAATTTGGACTCCGCTTTGTGTGTGAGCTTGCATATATCCGTGAACCTTTGTGTGTGAACTTGCATGTGAATTTGGACTCCTGTGAACTTGCATGTATATGTGAACCGTTTTGTGTTTGAAGTTAATGTGGTGCTGGTCTGTGAACTTGCTATATCATGTGTCATCATCATGCTGTGTAAATGTTGAAAAAATAGTCGTTAGAAATCATAAAGCATGCAATTTGCATGCCGAGATTGCTGGATCCGAGATCGATCGAGTTTGTGTTACTATGCATCGTCTCTCACACTGTCGTCGTCGGTGAGAAGCAAACGCATATGTTGTCAAGAATCGCAAGGTGCATGGAATGAAAAAAGGAAAAAGGCCTGGCCGACCCCAAAAGCTACTTTCCCCACAGGCTAGAGGTCACGGGACACGATCTACCATCCTATCGGCTGACTGGTTAGCTCAGCAAAAACATGTTGACAAAAAAAAGAGAGCAGCCAGCGGCCAGATACGCTGCATGCATACGTCCACGCCTCTGCATGCGCCCAACGCCCGCTGCATGCATGCGTCAGCACCCAAGTGCAAAAAGGTCTTTTTAACATCCACTTAACACCGTTAGCTGATGGATTTGACTGCGGTGTCATATTAGGGATGAAAGTTCAAGTGAGTGTCAAATAAGGAACGAAGAAAATTTCAGGGCTAAGAAAGGAACGGCTTATTTTCTTAGTGTCAAATAAGGAGTTCTCTCCTTTTAGAAGTAGTCCTCGATGCCTCTCCCCTGAGCAAGTGCTTCAATGCAATTCTGAAGGGGAGTTCCTTGAGCTTGTGGCGATGGCCTCTCCACATTCTGAACTGTAAACATTGATGTTTTGTAACTTATTGATTTAGTGATCATGATGTCATTAAACTTGCTTGAAAATGCCTCATTTTGTGAATCCGTTCTTGGCCTCATAGCTGCTTGAACATGCCTCGTAGTTTTGAACATGCCTCATAGTCGTTATGCGACATTTATTATGTGATAAAAATATTTAGTTATATAATATATGAGACGTGAATTTTAATGAATTTGATCGTTTGTTTATTTTTTATAAATTTTATCTTGTTTTATTTTTACGAACTTTGCCTTTTGATTAAATGCCACTTTAACGTCATATTTAATTTTACAGTATTGTTATTTTATTGTGTGATCCGTGTATTTTTAGTATAAAAGTTTAATTATCTGATAGCAACGCATGGACATGCTACCTAGTATATATACAGTATATAAAAACTTGAAGGCCCCTTTAGAACACTAGATTTTTTTTTCGTTCCTACTTTTTTTCTGAAAAAAATAAACTGAATCCTGTGAAACTTCTATGAAATTCGTGCGTTTCGAGGGGCCCGAAATGTTCTACGGGGAAAAAATTCAAGCCAATGCATGAGCATGATTGAAGCAAACGGTATATAGAAAACTAGAAATGTTCTACGAAAAGAAAAAAATCAAGCCAATGCATGATTGAAGCAAACGGTCTAGTAACGGTGTTAACCTAATCTAGAGATCTTTTGTAATCCTTAACGGCCACCAACCGCGGGAAGTAAACGGCGTCCTCCTCCTCGATATCTCCGTGGCGGCCTCTGGCTTTTTCCGCGGAATTGCGTGGTGGGGATGGATTCCACGAGACCGCGACGCAACGGCCTCTCGCCGCTGGGCCCCACACCGCTCGGTGCCGTAGCCTCACGGGACTCTTTCTCCCTCCTCTCCCGTGTATAAATTGGCTTCATCCCCTCCCTTCCTCGTGCATCCAGATCCCAGTCCCCAATCCCATCGTCGGAGAAATTCATCGAAGCGAAGCGAATCCTCCGGATCCTCTCAAGGTACTGCGAGTTTCCGATTCCCCCCTCGACCCCCCTCGTATGCTTTCCCTTGTGTTCGTCGTAGCGTTTGATTAGGTATGCTTTCCCTGTTCGTGTTCGAGGTCGTGTGAGGCGATGGCCTGCTCGCGTCCTTCGATCTGTAGTCGATTTGCGGGTCGTGGTGTAGATCTGCGGGCTGTGATGAAGTTCGTGTTCGAGGTCGTGTGAGGCGATGGCCTGCTCGCGTCCTTCGATCTGTAGTCGATTTGCGGGTCGTGGTGTAGATCTGCGGGCTGTGATGAAGTTATTTGGTGTGATCGTGCTCGCCTGATTCTGCGGGTTGGCTCGAGTAGATATGATGGTTTGACCGGTTGGTTCGTTTGCCGCGCTAGGGTTGGGCTGGGATGATGTTGCATGCGCCGTTGCGCGTGATCCCGCGGCAGGACTTGCGTTTGATTGCCAGATCTCGTTACGATTATGTGATTTGGTTTGGACTTTTTAGATCTGTAGCTTCTGCTTATGTGCCAGATGCGCCTACTGCTCATATGCCTGATGATAATCACAGATGGCTGTGGAACTAACTAGTTGATTGCGGAGTCATGTATCAGCTACAGGTGTAGGGACTTGCGTCTAATTGTTTGGTCCTGTACTCATGTTGCAATTATGCGATTTAGTTTAGATTGTTTGTTCCACTCATCTAGTCTGTAAAAGGGACACTGCTTAGATTGCTGTTTAATCTTTTAAGTAGATTATATTATATTGGTAACTTATTACCCTTATTACATGCCATACGTGACTTCTGCTCATGCCTGATGATAATCATAGATCACTGTGGAATTAATTAGTTGATTGTTGAATCATGTTTCATGTACATACCACGGCACAATTGCTTAGTTCCTTAACAAATGCAAATTTTACTGATCCATGTATGATTTGCGTGGTTCTCTAATGTGAAATACTATAGCTACTTGTTAGTAAGAATCAGGTTCGTATGCTTAATGCTGTATGTGCCTTCTGCTCATGCCTGATGATAATCATATATCACTGGAATTAATTAGTTGATCGTTTAATCATATATCAAGTACATACCATGGCACAGTTTTTAGTCACTTCCTTAACCCATGCAGATTGAACTGGTCCCTGCATGTTTTGCTAGATTGTTCTATTCTGATTAGACCATATATCATGTTTTTTTTTTGGTAATGATTCTCTTATTTTAAATGCTATATAGTTCTGGTACTTGTTAGAAAGATCTGCTTCATAGTTTAGTTGCCTATCCCTCGAATTAGGATGCTGAACAGCTGATCCAATAACTTTGTTTCATGTTTCAATTCTTCTCTGTTCAACAGTTGATCAGTTTTTGTTAGATTCATAGTAACTTATGGTCGCTTACTCTTCTGGTCCTCAATGCTTGCAGATGCAGATCTTCGTTAAGACCCTCACTGGCAAGACCATCACCCTTGAGGTTGAGTCCTCAGACACTATTGACAATGTCAAGGCTAAGATCCAGGACAAGGAAGGCATTCCTCCGGATCAGCAGAGGCTGATCTTTGCTGGCAAGCAGCTCGAGGATGGCCGTACCCTAGCTGACTACAACATCCAGAAGGAGTCCACCCTCCACCTGGTGCTCAGGCTCAGGGGAGGCATGCAGATCTTCGTCAAGACCCTCACTGGCAAGACTATCACGCTTGAGGTCGAGTCTTCTGACACGATCGACAACGTGAAGGCCAAGATCCAGGACAAGGAGGGAATCCCCCCGGACCAGCAGCGTCTCATCTTCGCTGGCAAGCAGCTTGAGGATGGCCGCACCCTCGCTGACTACAACATCCAGAAGGAGTCGACTCTCCACCTTGTGCTCAGGCTCAGGGGTGGCATGCAGATCTTCGTCAAGACACTCACTGGCAAGACCATCACCTTGGAGGTGGAGTCCTCGGACACCATTGACAATGTGAAGGCGAAGATCCAGGACAAGGAGGGCATCCCCGGACCAGCAGCGCCTCATCTTCGCCGGCAAGCAGCTTGAGGATGGCGCACCCTTGCTGACTACAACATCCAGAAGGAGTCCACCTTCACCTGGTGCTCCGCCTTCGTGGTGGTATGCAGATCTTCGCCAAGACCCTCACCGGCAAGACCATCACCCTGGAGGTGGAGTCCTCTCGACACCATCGACAATGTGAAGGCGAAGATCCAGGATAAGGAGGGCATCCCCGGACCAGCAGCTGTCTCATCTTCGCTGGCAAGCAGCTTGAGGATGGCCGCACCTGGCAGACTATAACATCCAGAAGGAGTCCACCCTTCACCTGGTGCTCCGCCTTCGCGGTGGTATGCAGATCTTCGTCAAGACCCTCACCGGCAAGACCATCACCCTGGAGGTGGAGTCCTCTGACACCATCGACAATGTGAAAGCGAAGATCCAGGACAAGGAGGGCATCCCCCCGGACCAGCAGCGTCTCATCTTCGCCGGCAAGCAGCTGGAGGATGGCCGCACCCTGGCAGACTACAACATCCAGAAGGAGTCCACTCTCCACCTGGTGCTCCGTCTCCGTGGTGGCCAGTAAGTCCTGGGCCATGAGCAGCTGTCCTTCCAGGGTTCACAAGTCTGGTGCCTTCTGTCCCTCCGATGGAGATTATCTGCATGTTGTGGTCGTGTCCTGATTGAGTCGTCGTTTGAGTCCCTATGTTTCTCTTCAAGAAATGTGAGTCCTATGTCAGTCTGGTTGTGTTTGTGAACATTTCTGCTGCTGTGCAGCAGTTTGGTTGCAACTGTGCAATGAAATAATTGAACCCTGGTTTCTGGTTATATGTGTGTTAGCTAATGTTTTTGAAGTGGAAGCTCTAATCTTCTATTGCGTTGCTACTACAATTCTGCTTGTGTTTTGATGGTTCTTGGTTTCTGTTAGTTGGTTCAGAGGAAATTCTGCTTCCACAGACTAAGATGCAGTTGAACTTTGGGCCATTGGTCATGCTGGTTGCTCTGGTTTTCTAGATTTCATCTGTGCTGGTCCTGTGACCGGAAGGTTCTGGCGGTCTCTTCGTATTGCACATGCGAGGGTAAGGTTTGTCACTGACATCCTTCTTTAGATTCCGCACAGAGCGGGAGCTCTCTGCACTGGGTATACTTTTTTTTTTTTGGTTGAGTGATAGTAAGAAACAACCGGTGTTCACATCTATTCAGGTTTTGTGCTGCTCGAGTGATCATAAAAAACCACCGGTGTTCACATCTAAAAAGGTTTCCCCAGGTTTAGATCTCCCGTTTAATTCAAAAAAAAAGTTCTGTGTACTTGCATTTAGTTGGGTGGTTGATGCTGCAAACAGTAACTTCCAAGAGTAATAATCTTTGGTGACTACTCTGTTTCAACTGATCAATCCCTAGGAAAGGTTCACCTTTACTTTAGGGAAGAAATTCTTAGAACCTTGCACTTTGTTTCAACTGATAATAGTATACTTTATTAGATAAAAAATATTCAGATATATTAAACACAGGATGTCATCCTTACAAACCTCTGTCATGGTCCTGCAGAAATGTTTGCCAGCTCCAGTGGCTTCCTGATCAATCTGTGGAATGCCTGTAATCGGCTGCAATTTTTGCTGAGAACTGTATATATGTAGTAGTACTATTGGGCCACCAATTCGATTTTGACACAGCACTATTGGTCCACCAATTCCATTCTGACACAGCACTGCATAATTTGAAAACGTGTTGCTCCATTTTGCAAGGCTACAAATTTAGATCATTTTTAGCATTCTGTGGGATACAATACATGGATATCGAACAAACTTGGTATGTCAGAGAAAAAAAATAGTTTATTTTCAAAACTAACATTTTTAAAGCCTTCTATGAACTTTAAACTTTCAGCGTTTGGGATCAAGACGAGTGCTCGAACAAGAGTGCACTATTTTTCTCCAAAATAATCTACTACAGAGTTCTTTTTTTTTAAAAAAAAAAACTTATACTTAACAGATAAATCAGACCTCTTCTGCTCCATATCACCTTGACAAATCAAAGAAGCAGCACCAACGAAGCAAAGGGTATTATTATTGAGGTAAATATAATATCTCGTTTACTGAAAAAGACCGAGCGTTTACTTATGAAAAAGACCGAGTGTTTACCTAAACTACCATTTTGCTTTGATAGCAGCATACATGACTTCTGCGCACATCCTATAGATATAATGTTTATGCAATGGAAAATTGAAAATGCATTAGAATTAGAATATAGTTGTAGCAAAGGCTTTCTTATATTTGTAACCAAACAATCTATTTCTGACATCCATTGTTTATCTCCTCTTACTTTAGGAACCTTTTATGAAGACAATTTCACAAACTGAAGTAATGAAGACAATTTTTATTTATAAAAAAAAAGACAATTTCTTAAAGCTTTTGAGTTACAATCCTCTATTACATATAGAAGGAAACATTTCCTTGTTCTTTTGCTGAAAAAGACATATGACATATGATAGACTCTACAGATCTAGAACTGCTATGAAAAACTGGAGCCTTTATCCAATCTACTAATGCAGGAATTATAGTAATTTTAGTGTACATTGCAATGCAGCTAGTCATATCATATATAAGACCCAAAAAAAAAAACTCTGGACATGATACTTATGCAGGACATATCTCAAAATCGCATAGACTTGTCAATTATCTTTTTGGAGCATGTCTCATGGTTAACTTGTTTACGCCGACAGCAATATCAACATTTCTTAACCGAAAAGCACCAAGAAAATGAACATGTTTTAACCGAAAAGCACCAAGAAAGCTGTACTCCACAGTCCACTCGTCTCTCTGCCTGCTCCTTGACAAGAGACAGAGAGGGCTGTCTGAAACTCTCCCTAATGCCTTTCCTTGAGATAGAATAGTCAACATCTACTTCTGGAAGGACCAAACACACAAATTCAATCCATCAGAGAACTGTTTTTGTATCAAACAATGCGACATCTCGATCAACAGGACAAGGAAAATTAAGCATGGATCTACAATGCATTGGACAATTTAATTAAGCGGAGAGACTAGACTAATAATCTAAGCTAACTCTTCAAAAAAAAAAAAAGACAATGTGTGCATACAGAATTATATCCTCTCGAAATACATGTACAACTAGCAGAGTAGTCCTTGCAAGAAAATACACAAGGACCTCACTTTTGTGGAAATTACTCTGAAGACCAATTTCCACAAAAATGAGTTGACTACCAAGAGAAAGAAAGGTTGGCTTTCTGATGTTGGGGAAATCTAATCTGTGTGTAATTGCAGTTGAGTTCAGTTCTTGACTTTTGCTACTGTGTTAGCTAGTAACCCCAACATTACTCTTTAAACTCTATGGCTTTCTAAAAAGCAGAGGAAATCTATTAAAAGACAAAACAACTTCTGAAATAGTGAAATCCCAATGCGGGATTGCAGATCGAACACCACAAACCCCTTGTTAAACCTTATGAACAAGATATGACCATATGCTTAGGGCAGACCCAACTAGTCAGGTCATATGATTTTCACAGAATTAAACAATCTTCCTTGTTGGCAAATATTCTATGTGACAAGAGAGTTAATTAACAAGGAAAAAGAGAAAAGAGAAAGAAATAATTTATCATGCAAGAAACGGAATCCACAACTTCCAACACACATAGAAATTAGTGATGTCATGAGGGGGTGGACGAGAGGGTGTTTCTTCACCCCACACGTTTGTGGGGGCCAAAGATGGGGACCAGACTATGCCCTAGCACTCTAGAGATCCGTTGGGCCCAACTGTCATGCAAAGGTTGAGATCGCCAGCTGCTCGATATTCACATGAAGAGGATAATGGTGAGAGAGAAATGATAGATGCAATTATTAGGGCTTAGGTATTGAAATCATGCATTGTGATAAGGAGTTTCTAAAGATAGTTTCTTGCTGATACAATGGTTATGGAAACTAGATGATACTTTAGAGGTTAGGAAAATTAATCTCGCGGATACATATAATTCAGAAGAATAGGTGAGTGATTCATACACATCATTCCTTTCTTTTATCAAGAGTTCCAGCAATTGATATCCTTTCACAAATAATTGAAATGCAATTTCGTGATCTGGATCTTTAATTGTTGGAAACTTCTCAAGTTCTTCTGCCAAGCCTTGATTAATGAATCTACAAAATCTCTTGAAATGGATCTGACTAAATCCTGGTACTGTGGACATTCCTACATTTCCATTCCGTACCAATTGAATTTATATAGAAGAAAAATTCCTACTATAGCATAGCATTGTTCGATCGCTGTTGGACATGCCACCCTAAAACGATGAAGCTCTGAAATATGGCAATGCAGGATTGGAGATGAGACAAACCCTAAAGGCATAAACCCTTTGTTAAACCCCTGATCTGATGGGGGCGATCAGGCGCCGCCGGTGACGGTGCCGTTGAAGATCTCGATGGTGTCGCCGTTCTTAACCTCGTGCCACCGAAGGGTACGGTCCTCATCCATAACATTCTGCTTGTACACGAAGAAGTATCCGCCGTCGCGCACGGGGAGGCGCAGCCTCTCCACCTCCTTGCGCAGTTCCCGGACCACATCCATGGCGCCCACCTCCAGCGCCACCGCCGTCTCGCCAAACATGACGCTCACCTCGATCCTCTGCTGGTTCCTGGCCCCGGCGCCGTTTCCGTCGCCGCCGCCGCCCGACGCCACGGGGGCCTGCGGGTGCACGACGGCGCTCACGTCCATGCCGTCGGCCGGCGGGCCGTAGTCCGCCAGCGTCTTGCCATCCTCCATCTCCGCCTTGCCGAGGAAGAGCGCCGTCCTCGCGGCAGGCAGCGCGCCGTCGGTGCGGTCCTGGACGAGCTCCTTGAGGCGGGCCACGGTGTCGGAGGCCGGGACGTCGTCGAGCGCGACGCTGCGCGGCCCGATGATCTCGGGGGCCGAGACGGCGACGCGGACGCCGGTGGCGGGGGACGGGGAGGGCGAGGGTGGCGCGTCGTCGGGGAGGACGAGGACGACGCGGGAGCCCTGGACGATGCCGTAGTGCGCGGTGTCGCGCGCGTCGTCGAGCTCCTGGCCGTCCTCCTCCTCCTCCCGCCCGGCGAGGAAGAGCCGCTGCGACGCCACGGGGATGCCCTCGCGCGCGTGGACCGCCTCCTTCATCTCCCGCACCGTCGCGAAGTACCACACCTCCAGGGTGAACTCCCGGCCCCCCGGCGTCGCGAACGTCACGTCCATTCCGTCGATCGCGCTCCTTCGTTCGCCGTCTCTCACGATCCCTCGCCCTCTCGGCCGATCGATGATCGGTCTGTATATATCGCGGTGGTCCCCTGCTGGTCCCCACGGGGCGGCGCGGCGAGGCGCAGAAGAGGAAGGTCCCTGACGTGGTGGCGCGGTGAGCTGTGCCTGTGCCGGCGCGCGTTCACTTCTCGTGCATGCGGAAGTTGCGGGCGAAGCGAAGCGTCCGCGGCGAAGATCCAGCGGTGCGGCGTGTGTGGAACCGTTACCGTTGCACCTCGCGCGGCCGGCGTCCACTGCGGGATTTGATTTTTTTTATTTTTTATTTTTTGTATAAATAATAATAATAAATAGTTGCAGACGGAAAAGATTTGCAAATTTAGGCTAATATACGATTTACAAATACCGCCTCTTGAAACAAGGGCGGTAGTAGATTTGTACCCGCAGGCAGTACAAAACGTATAGCCGTTTGGAGTGATATTTTCTGAAGTTGGCCGTCGCACGCATTTCGTATTATTTGGCCACATTCGACGCATTTTGATGTGTAATAGTAACGCGACTTCAAACAGCTATTGTTCGGTAGTGGAA